CACGCACACTGACACGCACACTCACACTCACACTCACACGCACACTCTCACACGTTATGCACCTTTAAACAGGCCGGCTGTGTTTCCTCTACTGTAGTTTTAGTGGTTGGCCAGGTGAGTTTTCCAGGTGTGATGCGTCTCTGGATCATCAGCTGAGCGTTAGTGAAGCACTCCAGAGCTTTAGTAAATCTACAACACATCAAACACAGACAGGAAATGATGTCAAAGACATTCAGCATGCAGTGCGGCAGCGTTCAAAATCAACACACTCACCTATTCTCCTTCAGGTAAACTCTGCCCATCCCATAATGCACCAGCGACTGAAACTTCCTCTCTGACGACTCTAATTTGGTGAACAACCGCTGAGCTTCAGCCAGTTCCTTCAAACACAAGAAACAACACAATCAATGAACAACAACAACTAAAAACACAGTATATTTGTATTCGGCATCTGAGATGTTTGTAGAATAGCCTGCAGGAGCCAAGGGCTCTTTTAGGCCGCATGGCCTTCAAACACAGTCCTCAGATTAAAATAATGAGGCAGACACTGAATAATCACTCTGTGGTATGTTAAGCATAGGCTAGTTGGCAGTCTGGAGTATAGGGGAGTTTCCAGGAAGAGAAAGGGAAATGAGATGAGTGGTAACAACGATCTCTTTGAGATCAACTCTGTAAGTGTAAACTGCGAGTGAGACGGTCAGATGTCCTGCAGGCATCTCAGCTTCGTTGTCTTGACCAATAAAGTCTGATTTCTGCATCTGAACTCCTTGATTTGAGAGATTCAAAGTCAGACTCGTGCAGTGATGCAGTGAAATCTCTCTGGCGGTAAAGTCATATGACTTCTGTCACGCTCGTCTCCTGCAAGTATTTGTGCGCGATACGAGTAAAAGACCATCAGCCGGTAAGCGTTCGCACTCGGTGTAAATGAAGCCATCGTTCTTTTATGTTGCATTTCAGGTAAACATGTGGTGCATTACCTCAGGCTGTCCGATCTCCAGCAGGGCCATTGCATATCCATACATCAGCACAGATTTATCTAGCTCTGTCAAACCCAGCTCCTGTCAGTCACAGAAATACACTAATGAACGAGGATCCAAACCATTGACTTTACATTACAGTCACATATCTCAGACACACAGTACCGTGGTCCCGCTGGCCTCCAGGATCCTGAGCGCCGCAGAGAAGGACTGCTGAGCGTTACGACAGCGCTGGTCGCTCAGAGCTGTGTGAGCCTCCTGAACAGCAGCACAGAAGCGATCTCTCCTCCCCGCCTCGCTCTCGTCCTCCTGCAGACACCACAGCAGCGTCAGAGCACACACACTCACACACTCTCACACAGAGACACACTCTCACACACACACACACACACACACACATACAGAGACACACACACACGAGCACACACACACACACACTCTCTCTCTCTCTCTCTCTCTCTCTCTCTCTCTCTCTCTCTCTCTCTCTCTCTCTCTCTCTCTCTCTCTCTCTCTCTCTCTCTCTCTCTCTCTCTCTCTCTCTCTCTCTCTCTCTCTCTCTCTCTCTCTCTCTCTCTCTCTCTCTCTCTCTCTCTCTCTCTCTCTCTCTCTCTCTCTCTCTCTCTCTCTCTCTCTCTCTCTCTCTCTCTCTCTCTCTCTCTCTCTCTCTCTCTCTCTCTCTCTCTCTCTCTCTCTCTCTCTCTCTCTCTCTCTCTCTCTCTCTCTCTCTCTCTCTCTCTCTCTCTCTCTCTCTCTCTCTCTCTCTCTCTCTCTCTCTCTCTCTCTCTCTCTCTCTCTCTCTCTCTCTCTCTCTCTCTCTCTCTCTCTCTCTCTCTCTCTCTCTCTCTCTCTCTCTCTCTCTCTCTCTCTCTCTCTCTCTCTCTCTCTCTCTCTCTCTCTCTCTCTCTCTCTCTCTCTCTCTCTCTCTCTCTCTCTCTCTCTCTCTCTCTCTCTCTCTCTCTCTCTCTCTCTCTCTCTCTCTCTCTCTCTCTCTCTCTCTCTCTCTCTCTCTCTCTCTCTCTCTCTCTCTCTCTCTCTCTCTCTCTCTCTCTCTCTCTCTCTCTCTCTCTCTCTCTCTCTCTCTCTCTCTCTCTCTCTCTCTCTCTCTCTCTCTCTCTCTCTCTCTCTCTCTCTCTCTCTCTCTCTCTCTCTCTCTCTCTCTCTCTCTCTCTCTCTCTCTCTCTCTCTCTCTCTCTCTCTCTCTCTCTCTCTCTCTCTCTCTCTCTCTCTCTCTCTCTCTCTCTCTCTCTCTCTCTCTCTCTCTCTCTCTCTCTCTCTCTCTCTCTCTCTCTCTCTCTCTCTCTCTCTCTCTCTCTCTCTCTCTCTCTCTCTCTCTCTCTCTCTCTCTCTCTCTCTCTCTCTCTCTCTCTCTCTCTCTCTCTCTCTCTCTCTCTCTCTCTCTCTCTCTCTCTCTCTCTCTCTCTCTCTCTCTCTCTCTCTCTCTCTCTCTCTCTCTCTCTCTCTCTCTCTCTCTCTCTCTCTCTCTCTCTCTCTCTCTCTCTCTCTCTCTCTCTCTCTCTCTCTCTCTCTCTCTCTCTCTCTCTCTCTCTCTCTCTCTCTCTCTCTCTCTCTCTCTCTCTCTCTCTCTCTCTCTCTCTCTCTCTCTCTCTCTCTCTCTCTCTCTCTCTCTCTCTCTCTCTCTCTCTCTCTCTCTCTCTCTCTCTCTCTCTCTCTCTCTCTCTCTCTCTCTCTCTCTCTCTCTCTCTCTCTCTCTCTCTCTCTCTCTCTCTCTCTCTCTCTCTCTCTCTCTCTCTCTCTCTCTCTCTCTCTCTCTCTCTCTCTCTCTCTCTCTCTCTCTCTCTCTCTCTCTCTCTCTCTCTCTCTCTCTCTCTCTCTCTCTCTCTCTCTCTCTCTCTCTCTCTCTCTCTCTCTCTCTCTCTCTCTCTCTCTCTCTCTCTCTCTCTCTCTCTCTCTCTCTCTCTCTCTCTCTCTCTCTCTCTCTCTCTCTCTCTCTCTCTCTCTCTCTCTCTCTCTCTCTCTCTCTCTCTCTCTCTCTCTCTCTCTCTCTCTCTCTCTCTCTCTCTCTCTCTCTCTCTCTCTCTCTCTCTCTCTCTCTCTCTCTCTCTCTCTCTCTCTCTCTCTCTCTCTCTCTCTCTCTCTCTCTCTCTCTCTCTCTCTCTCTCTCTCTCTCTCTCTCTCTCTCTCTCTCTCTCTCTCTCTCTCTCTCTCTCTCTCTCTCTCTCTCTCTCTCTCTCTCTCTCTCTCTCTCTCTCTCTCTCTCTCTCTCTCTCTCTCTCTCTCTCTCTCTCTCTCTCTCTCTCTCTCTCTCTCTCTCTCTCTCTCTCTCTCTCTCTCTCTCTCTCTCTCTCTCTCTCTCTCTCTCTCTCTCTCTCTCTCTCTCTCTCTCTCTCTCTCTCTCTCTCTCTCTCTCTCTCTCTCTCTCTCTCTCTCTCTCTCTCTCTCTCTCTCTCTCTCTCTCTCTCTCTCTCTCTCTCTCTCTCTCTCTCTCTCTCTCTCTCTCTCTCTCTCTCTCTCTCTCTCTCTCTCTCTCTCTCTCTCTCTCTCTCTCTCTCTCTCTCTCTCTCTCTCTCTCTCTCTCTCTCTCTCTCTCTCTCTCTCTCTCTCTCTCTCTCTCTCTCTCTCTCTCTCTCTCTCTCTCTCTCTCTCTCTCTCTCTCTCTCTCTCTCTCTCTCTCTCTCTCTCTCTCTCTCTCTCTCTCTCTCTCTCTCTCTCTCTCTCTCTCTCTCTCTCTCTCTCTCTCTCTCTCTCTCTCTCTCTCTCTCTCTCTCTCTCTCTCTCTCTCTCTCTCTCTCTCTCTCTCTCTCTCTCTCTCTCTCTCTCTCTCTCTCTCTCTCTCTCTCTCTCTCTCTCTCTCTCTCTCTCTCTCTCTCTCTCTCTCTCTCTCTCTCTCTCTCTCTCTCTCTCTCTCTCTCTCTCTCTCTCTCTCTCTCTCTCTCTCTCTCTCTCTCTCTCTCTCTCTCTCTCTCTCTCTCTCTCTCTCTCTCTCTCTCTCTCTCTCTCTCTCTCTCTCTCTCTCTCTCTCTCTCTCTCTCTCTCTCTCTCTCTCTCTCTCTCTCTCTCTCTCTCTCTCTCTCTCTCTCTCTCTCTCTCTCTCTCTCTCTCTCTCTCTCTCTCTCTCTCTCTCTCTCTCTCTCTCTCTCTCTCTCTCTCTCTCTCTCTCTCTCTCTCTCTCTCTCTCTCTCTCTCTCTCTCTCTCTCTCTCTCTCTCTCTCTCTCTCTCTCTCTCTCTCTCTCTCTCTCTCTCTCTCTCTCTCTCTCTCTCTCTCTCTCTCTCTCTCTCTCTCTCTCTCTCTCTCTCTCTCTCTCTCTCTCTCTCTCTCTCTCTCTCTCTCTCTCTCTCTCTCTCTCTCTCTCTCTCTCTCTCTCTCTCTCTCTCTCTCTCTCTCTCTCTCTCTCTCTCTCTCTCTCTCTCTCTCTCTCTCTCTCTCTCTCTCTCTCTCTCTCTCTCTCTCTCTCTCTCTCTCTCTCTCTCTCTCTCTCTCTCTCTCTCTCTCTCTCTCTCTCTCTCTCTCTCTCTCTCTCTCTCTCTCTCTCTCTCTCTCTCTCTCTCTCTCTCTCTCTCTCTCTCTCTCTCTCTCTCTCTCTCTCTCTCTCTCTCTCTCTCTCTCTCTCTCTCTCTCTCTCTCTCTCTCTCTCTCTCTCTCTCTCTCTCTCTCTCTCTCTCTCTCTCTCTCTCTCTCTCTCTCTCTCTCTCTCTCTCTCTCTCTCTCTCTCTCTCTCTCTCTCTCTCTCTCTCTCTCTCTCTCTCTCTCTCTCTCTCTCTCTCTCTCTCTCTCTCTCTCTCTCTCTCTCTCTCTCTCTCTCTCTCTCTCTCTCTCTCTCTCTCTCTCTCTCTCTCTCTCTCTCTCTCTCTCTCTCTCTCTCTCTCTCTCTCTCTCTCTCTCTCTCTCTCTCTCTCTCTCTCTCTCTCTCTCTCTCTCTCTCTCTCTCTCTCTCTCTCTCTCTCTCTCTCTCTCTCTCTCTCTCTCTCTCTCTCTCTCTCTCTCTCTCTCTCTCTCTCTCTCTCTCTCTCTCTCTCTCTCTCTCTCTCTCTCTCTCTCTCTCTCTCTCTCTCTCTCTCTCTCTCTCTCTCTCTCTCTCTCTCTCTCTCTCTCTCTCTCTCTCTCTCTCTCTCTCTCTCTCTCTCTCTCTCTCTCTCTCTCTCTCTCTCTCTCTCTCTCTCTCTCTCTCTCTCTCTCTCTCTCTCTCTCTCTCTCTCTCTCTCTCTCTCTCTCTCTCTCTCTCTCTCTCTCTCTCTCTCTCTCTCTCTCTCTCTCTCTCTCTCTCTCTCTCTCTCTCTCTCTCTCTCTCTCTCTCTCTCTCTCTCTCTCTCTCTCTCTCTCTCTCTCTCTCTCTCTCTCTCTCTCTCTCTCTCTCTCTCTCTCTCTCTCTCTCTCTCTCTCTCTCTCTCTCTCTCTCTCTCTCTCTCTCTCTCTCTCTCTCTCTCTCTCTCTCTCTCTCTCTCTCTCTCTCTCTCTCTCTCTCTCTCTCTCTCTCTCTCTCTCTCTCTCTCTCTCTCTCTCTCTCTCTCTCTCTCTCTCTCTCTCTCTCTCTCTCTCTCTCTCTCTCTCTCTCTCTCTCTCTCTCTCTCTCTCTCTCTCTCTCTCTCTCTCTCTCTCTCTCTCTCTCTCTCTCTCTCTCTCTCTCTCTCTCTCTCTCTCTCTCTCTCTCTCTCTCTCTCTCTCTCTCTCTCTCTCTCTCTCTCTCTCTCTCTCTCTCTCTCTCTCTCTCTCTCTCTCTCTCTCTCTCTCTCTCTCTCTCTCTCTCTCTCTCTCTCTCTCTCTCTCTCTCTCTCTCTCTCTCTCTCTCTCTCTCTCTCTCTCTCTCTCTCTCTCTCTCTCTCTCTCTCTCTCTCTCTCTCTCTCTCTCTCTCTCTCTCTCTCTCTCTCTCTCTCTCTCTCTCTCTCTCTCTCTCTCTCTCTCTCTCTCTCTCTCTCTCTCTCTCTCTCTCTCTCTCTCTCTCTCTCTCTCTCTCTCTCTCTCTCTCTCTCTCTCTCTCTCTCTCTCTCTCTCTCTCTCTCTCTCTCTCTCTCTCTCTCTCTCTCTCTCTCTCTCTCTCTCTCTCTCTCTCTCTCTCTCTCTCTCTCTCTCTCTCTCTCTCTCTCTCTCTCTCTCACACACACACTCTCACACACACACACTCTCACACACACACACTGCTGTGCCTCACACTGACCGCTAGAGGGCTCGTTCTGTCCGAGACGGGTGTGTGTTTGCTCCGGACCGCCGGCTTCTCTGGGACACCGGACGAGCCTTTCTTAGTCTTTCGTGGACTCATTTCACTAGGACAAATTCATCAGGAATAAACATATTACAAGCGGCTCAATGAAATCAGTCCATTGTTTTCTAAAAGCAGGAGCGGATTCACTCAAGGGTGCATTCCACAGGAACAGATACGAGCGCACAGAAGGAGCTGACAAACCCCACAGAAAACCTGCAAACCTACATCCTCATTACGATCACTCAAATACTATTAGACCGTGTTAATATTTTGATTTAGATTTGAGTTTAATACTTTGTTCTCTTCTTCATCGTAGTTAAACTCATCGTAGTTTTATTTTTTAAATAAAAATAAAAATGTTTATTGCATGCTAGCTGAAATTTAATGCAGTTAATGCTTATTTAATTGGTAAGACTCTACAATAAGCTCTGATTAGCAAAGCATTAACTAACATTAACAATGAGCAAAGTTAATAACGCTGGTTGAGTTGTTCAGCATCACACACACATGGTGAGGAAACAGCCGAAATAAAGTCAACATTCTGTTACTGTCTGAATCATCTGAAAGCTTCAATATGACGTTAAATGAAATGAAAGTGAATCTAGCCAGACTCACGTGACCTTATTTTACTGTCATTGAAAATTCACGTTTCATCTTAAAGTTGTGTGGAACAAAACACTCTTCATAAGTCATATCAGTTTGATATTTAACATTAAATATATATATTTTTTTAAAGATATTAAAAATTAGCCTTTTCCCTGTCATTTTCATAACGATAACCCGGTTAATTACCTCTTCGTGTCTTTGAGTCTGTCAGTTCTTCCGTCAGCATTCGCTCGAGCTCCTGAATTCCCTGAAAACAAGTGAATTATGGGATTAATGCGTCGCATGACAAAGTGAATCAAGCTCTCCTGCGTTCAAGAAGATCAAGAACCTGCAGGACCAGACCAACCACTCACTCCAAACACCCGTCGCTTCTAGAAACGAGCGCGGCGGCATGAAGGAGTGAACAAACGTGCACTCACACACACTCTCACGCGCACTCACACACACACACTCTCACACACATACACTCACACGCACTCACACACACTCTCACACACACTCTCTCACACACACACACACACACTGTCTCTCTCTCTCACACACACTGTCTCTCTCTCACACACACACTGTCTCTCTCTCTCACACACACACTGTCTCTCTCTCTCACACACACACACTGTCTCTCTCTCTCACACACACTGTCTCTCTCTCACACACACACACAATCTCTCTCTCACACACACTGTCTCTCTCTCACACACACACACAAACATCATTTTGTCATAAAGCAGCTTTCAGTAGCGCAGTGCACATTTAAACTGAAGCTTCCAGTTATTAGATCATGCCGGCATCCTGTCAACTACACCAAAACACCAGAGAAGAGCAAAGCAGGAGATGAAGTGATGATGATGATGATGATCAAAAGGAGGAGTTTATTGTATAATCTTAGTTGTGTAGGTTTCAATGCTCAGACTTCATCTGACCAGCACAGATCCAACAAGTGTTTTTACACCACAAGCCATAACAATGGAAAGTTACTGCTTCACAACATCATCCAGTCACGATAAAAACCTTGCAATGGAGACAGTCTCTTATCTCTTACTCATGAAGACAAATATCCCTTAAAACCACACAATAATAAGACTAAACAACAATAGTTTATAAAATATAATAATGATCCAATGAGTATATAAATGGTTTAAATGATTACTATGAATGATTATATGATTAAATGGAATGATAATAAAAATAAGTGATAACTGAATGAGTACAAAAGAAAGTAAAACACAAATGTACGGTTGCTCTCTTGAATCCTTAGATCCTTCGTAGTGGAACTGAGCTCAATTGTACTAAACGGCCAATGCATGTTCAACACTAAGCAAAAAAAACCTCTCAAGCATCTCCTCCTTCCTCACCTGCGGTGTCATCCTGGTCTTTCCAGTTTTCAGATTGCTGGTGTTTGGGAGAAGAACAACATTACAGCGATTAGACTTCACACCCGCGTGATAAAACACAAAATCACATTCACAGCAGGGTTATTATCTAAAACATTTTTACCGCACTGTAGTACTAACTGGAAATAAATTATTGAAAAACTAAAACTGAACTAAAAATAAACAAAACCTAAAGAGAGGAAAAAAAACTTAATGTAAAAAATGTATATTATATATTAAGTAAAAACAAAAGCTAATAAAAATGACACACATGAAATTAACAAAAAGCAATAAAAACAAATTTAAAGTATAAAAATAAAATCTAATCTAAAATATTATGCAAACTATAACAGTACATAAATAATCGTAAAATAACACAGTATAGTGCAAGCGTCTGTGAGTCTCATCTCACCGAACTCTCCAGGACTGAAGACTGAGACGTGGCTTCCGGCGGACGACTGGACTTCTGATGAGGACCTGAAGAATCGCCGGCCGCGTGTGATCTGCAGTACAAAACACACCTAAATCATTCCCTCACACAGCAGGACGAGAGCAGCACTACAGCATTAACAAGCACTAACCTGCTTTTAGAAGAAGTTTTCTTCGTTTCGGGTTTCTTGGTCTTCATCTCTGCTGGAAACACAACACAAATGAAGCGCTCTGCTGCGGTGGCTCAGCACTGAAGCCGTGCTGAAGGATCAGACGTTACCTCTGCTCTCCTGCAGCTCCGTCTGGAAGCGCTCGTGCTGCTGCAGCAGGTCTTTCTGTCCCTCGGTGTCTGCGCCGCAGGCGTCCTGAGCCAGGAGGTTGGCCGTCAGAGCTTTCTGATGTTCCCCCAGATAGAACAGAGCGTCACAGAAGCGGTAGTGACCCTGAAAGCCCAGAGAACACATGGCATTAAAACCCTGACAGAGCTGCGGCTCTCTGGTGCAGCTCCACCAGATTCACCACAGAGCTGCAGAAAATCATTCAGAGGATCTCAACTAATGGACGGACGCTTTTCAGACTCTCAGAAGCAGAAGTCGTCGTAGTCGGGAAACTCCGACAGCGCTGAACAGAAACACTAACAGAACTTGTGTTAACATTCGCTCCGACAGCAAAATAAATCATCTGGTACATTAATATGTGAGCAGTGTTAAGTCGCTGGGGTATATTTGTAGCAATAGCCAACAATACATTGTATGGGTCAAAATTATAGATTTTTCTTTTATGCCAAAAATCATTAGGATATTAAGTAAAGATCATGTTCCATGAAGATATTTAGTAAATTTCCTACCGTAAATATATCAAAACTTAATTTTTGATTAGTAATATGCATTGCTAAGAACTTCATTTGAACAAATTTAAAGGCGATTTTCTCAATATTTAGACTTTTTTGCACCCTCAAGATTCCATATTTTCAAATAGTTGTGTCTCAGCCAAATATTGTCCTATCCTAACAAACCATACATCAATGGAAAGATTATTTATTCAGCTTTCAGAATTTTTTTTATAATTTTTTTAATTGACCCTTATGACTGGTTTTGTGCTCCAGGGTCACAAATATCTACCAATGGAGAATGAAAACTCGTTTTCCCCTTCAAATTAAGTATATTTTTTGATATTGTTCTTGTTTTAGCCATAAACTCACTTTATTTTGATCAGTTTCTCAGAAAACAAGACTTCTTATCTTCAG